AAAAAAAAAATATATATATATATATATATATGGCAAATACATACAATGGAATATTACTAATCCATAAAAAGGAATTAGGTTCTGATACATGCTAAAATATGAATGAACCCTGAAAACATGCTAAGTAAAATAAGCCAGACTGAGTGCAGTAGCTCACACCTATCATCCCAGAGCTTTGGTAGGCAGAGGCAAGAGGATCTCTTGAGCTCTGGAGTTTGAGACAAGCCTAGGCAATATGGTAAAACCGCATTTCTATTAAAAAAAAAAAAAAAATACACACACAAAAAAAAATTAGCTGGGCATGGTGGCAAGTGCCTGTAGTCCCAGCTACCTGGAAGGCTGAGGTGGAAGGATTGCTTGAGCCAGGAGGTCAAAACTGCAGTGAGCCGTGATTGCACCACTGCATTCCAGCCTGGTTGACACAGTGAGACCCTATCTCAGAAAAGAAAAGAAATAACCCAGGGCAAGGAGCAAGCAGAGACAGGACTGGCGCTGTGGCCAGAGACGCTGCTAGGCCGCAAAGGCAATGGGCAGCTGGGAACTCTACACTGAAGGCACAATGACCGGAAGGCTAGTAAATTGAATGCTGGGAACAGAAGAGTCTGATGACAGACTACTGAATTTCTTTGGAGTACAAAGTATGAACCCTTTCTGGATCAGGCACAAGGCAAGAATGCCTGCTTTCACCTCTTCTAGTCAATATAGTACTAGAAGCTCTAGCCAGAGCAATTAAGCAAGGGAAAAAAAAAGGCAACAAAACTAGAAAAGAAGAAGTAAGATTATCTCTTTTTGCAGATATGATCTTGCATGTAGAAAACCCTAGATTCCACACACAAAAACTGTTGGAACTAATAAATGAATTCAGCAAGGTAGCAAGAGGGAAAGTCAATACATAAAAATAAGTTGCATTTCTATACACTAACAATAGACAATCTGAGAAGCAAATTACAAGAAGAAATCAATTTACAATAGTATCAAAAAGAGTAAAATAATTAGGAATTTACCAAAAGGTGGAAGAAAGACTTACATAGTGAAATCTACAAAATAGTGCTGAAAGAAATTTAAAGAAGACATAAATGGAAACACATCCCATATTCATGGGTTAGAAGACTTAACATTGTTCTTTTTTTCTCCTTTTACAATTAGGCATCTCCTTGAGGAGAGCTTAATGTTGCTAATATATTAATACTACCCACAGCAATCTATAGACTCAATCTAATCCCTATAAAAATCCCAATGACATTCCTTGCAAGAACAGAAATATCCATCCTAAAATTCACATGGAATCTCAAGGGATCCCAAATAGTCAAAGCAATCTTGGGGCCAGGCGCGGTGGCTCACACCTGTAATCCCAGCACTTTGGGAGGCCGAGGCGGGTGGATCACAAGGTCAAGAGATCAAGACCATCCTGGTCAACATGGTGAAACCCTGTCTCTACTAAA